CAGTCTTTAAGGTTTTCTTTTTTGTAAAATAATGATAATTTATACTGGTAGGAACCACTACGGGCCCGTGAAATATCCCTAGTTTCCTCTCTCGACGGTCCTGTTCCGGTACTAAAGTCGACCGAAAGTAAGATGGCGAAGACTGATTTATCCGGCACACCATCCTAATGAATATATTGACGTCAGCAGCATCCAAATTCGATCGTCCCTCTCGGACCTACCAGCAGAAGTTAAACTTTCGCAATCATCCGGTCTCAAGCTAGCATTATACACGGGTCTCACTATTGCAAATACGCGACAGATTCACGTTATTGGGCTGAAAAATTTGAAAAAATTGTATGTCTATAAATTTCTACTGTCTTCATCTATCCGTCCATCTGTCCGATCGTCTGCTGACTGACTGTTTCTCCTTAATCTCAAGAACGGTGTTAGATATATGAAAGTCAAGACCAGATATAGAAACCTTAGGAGCAGGAGACCCCGATTATAGGAGGAGACTGTATGCGAACTTCTGATGCAAACCCAAAATTACGTTATTTCAATTCAAACATTTTCCCCTGAAAAGAGTTAGATAATGGCATGACTATGTTGATTACAGGAAAAGTGTGATGTACAGGGGCGAGCCACTACTAATTCGTGGTGGAGAGCATATATTTTAAATGAAATAAATTAAAAATATGATTTAAAATTGCAGCCTGGTTTTGTGACGATGTCACGATAAACAATTGCTCATTAATCTAAGCATATATTCTTATACACATACAAGGGCGAGTCCTCCCATATATTCTGTTCATATGTTGACGTATATGTATAAATGTAGCCAATCATATGCTTCAAAACATCGTAGTCTTTCGACCAATGAGAAAAGCCATGCATTTAACAGGCAATATATAAAATTATTTTTTCTTAGTGAATTGCACCTGTATACATGTTTTCGAATATAACATTCCTAAGAAAAATTAATACTTTCTGAAATTACGTTTGATTATTATTTCAATGCATTTGAAACGATGTCATTGGACAAAGCTGAATGATCAAAATCGGGCAAAAAATATTTTTAGGGATAAAGAAAAAACTTTGTCCATGACAAATAAAGCAAATGTTTATTTCTATATGATTTAAGCATGAGGTATATTGAAGTGTGCTAAGTATGATAATTTGTTATTTAACTTCGTAGTGCTAATATAAAATACAAGCTGCTAGACTGAAATTTATTGAATTGCTGAATTTAATGACTCAATATACACGAAATGATAATGATATAGGAATTAGTGAAGTTTCAATAAGTATGATCGCACATGTTTGAAGGAGCGTATTCAGCGCGCGAGAATCAAACGACAGCCAGAGGTTTAGCCTAGTTGTCGTGGTAACGATGACGTTTTCGACGCGCGTGGCATACTCGCAATAGTGATAACAGGACTTTACGGATAGGATGACCGAATGGGGGAGGCAGTTGAAGCCCCGACGGAGGCATGGGATCAAATCCGGGAGAGTAACATCAGAAATTTTCCGTGAGCGGTCATACCCGAATATGAGGGATTCCGTCCCTCACCACTCGGTAGCCCACATTGCGAGTCTGACCAAACCCAAATCCGTAATAAGCACGATTAAGTAAAAACTTTCTTAGTGCCCACAAGGTGGAAAAAGAAGAAAAAGAGCAATTAATGATCGGATTAAATTTTGTAGCACCTTTATATGCATGTATGGAGAAATATTGGCATTGTACAATAATTAACAATTATAAAATTCTACATAATATTAAATGTTTTATTTAAAATAAGTGTAAATATGGATTATATGGACACGCCAATTACAATGCAAAAACAGTTTTCGTTTTCAATATCGGTATCTATGTTTATCAATTCCACGATGAATATTTTTCGGTTTGTGAAATTTTTTAAATTTAAAATTAATATTACGTTATCAAATATAAAACTTTATTCTTATATTCGATAATTCAATATTACAGAATCTCGGAATTGGTTAAAATAAATCAAATTGGATTTGATTTCGATGGAAATGTAAAACTACGAATTCCTTGCCGTTTAAAGTCAAATCTGGTTGTTGGTTTTTAAATTTTGTTTATTCAGTGTAATTATTTCTTACAGTTCTGTTTGAAGTATTGACTCGTTAAACGAGATATTAATTTCCGTAAGTAAATGTTTTGTATGTTTCGTATTCGACGAAAATGATATTCAGTTTATTTGAAAGTTGCGATAGGATACACGGTCCGTAAACATAAGGGAACTGGATGGAAAATTTATATTTTTCTTTTATTCATTTTTGCAAATTTACATCATTTCCTTTATGATAATCACTGATTGTATTATTAATTTATTTTTCGTAAACCTATTTTAAATATATTTTGTTTAAATAAAAGGCAAGGCAATTCTTCACCGGTTTCATCGTACCATTATTCAGTTGTAATATAAGACAGCTCCACAAATAGCTAAACCACCGCTTTTGATCTCGATGTTTCGCAAATAATTAGTTTTTGATTTCTGTATAATCATTTCCAGCTTATAAGTTTTTATTATTTACTTTCTCGTTTAATTTTTATTTATTTTAATTAACTCCACAAATTTGTTCCTATAAATATAAATTAAGTTGTTCGTTCAAAATCTGATTTAAAATATTGATGGTTGTCATCCTTTTCTATAGGCCTATTAAAAAACTACGAATGATTGTCATGCTGCTTACTTGTCACAGTTGTTTACTTCTTTTTATTATTTTTTATATTGTTATTTCGTGAAGCAAATAATAAATTACCAGAATTACAATCTTCACTAATCAGTATTGATTTAACTCTCATTACTAAATGTTTTTTCTTTTAGATTTCTATTGCAGCGGCTGCTTTTTTCATAGGAGTAATAGAACTTTCTCCTTCTTAAATCTATATCATTAGCGTGAATTCTAGCACATTACAAATGATTCTCTGTCTTCCAGTATCAAATTCTCATTTTTTAAATGAGACGACATTTTCGTTTTGAAGATGAGCTAATAATGAGTCGAATCTAAAGGAGTGCAAATGAAATGACTTTCCCAGTTTTGAATTATTGTATATTCGCCTATTACCATTTACCAAATGGTAATACGCGCGTGTCCGTGTGTTCAGGGCAAATTTCGGCTAAGGGCTAATTTGAAACCCATTAGAATATATTATTGAATTTTATATAATCATGCATGTTTTACATGGTGTTCATTATTAAAAGATAAATTCGGAAATAAACGGTGTTTAATTTTAATAACGTTTCGTATAAGATTGTACTGCTATTTATGAATCAAAATAAGAATTTATCCTGAATATCTAGAACTGATTTAAAAGTTATGAAATTGTTTTGGTATTCGTAGTTTTGAGAAGAAGCTCGCTCTCTTCCTACTGTATATTCTTCCGATTTCAATATTATATTTATAGCGTATTTGAATATTTCCAGAGTTTCCCAACGGGGTCGGTATTGACCCCTTAAGGGTCGATGAAAGTTTGAGGAGGTCGCTAAAACTTTGCAAATATAAAAAAAAATTTATTTAAAAATATTAAAAATTTTACACAGATTTATCTCTCAAATAAATAAATAGGAAGATTCCTTTTAAAAATTATGTAGAAGACTGTTATATACTAATATTAATTACCGGTATATAATATTTTGTAGAAGATTGTTATATATAATTTTTTGTAGAAGATTGTTATATATAATTTTTTGTAGAAGATTGTTATATATAATATAATATTGTATAATATGTAGTATATAATATAGAAGGAAGTCAATGGAAAAATGTTCTTGAAAAGAGTCGATATATGAAAAAGGTTAGTAATCTCTTCCTAAGTAAATTATTTTGCTTCTTGACTCTAAATTCCGAATATTCTCTCGCGTACATGAGAATTCGAATGCAAAAGTTTTCTCGCAGAAATTTAAATCTTTAGGACTGGTTATTTTATTAATAAAAAAAGTTCCTAACATTTCATTTTAAAAACATAGCTAAAGGGTCCCGCTAAGAGGAAAAAGAGGCTTGTACAACAAGCTCTCGATGGCCCTGGATGCAAATGCCAAAGGCGAGATTTGGATGAATCTCGACTAATCGGAAAGATATTTGTCCCTCGGATTTTGATGCCTTTTTCATTCGTCCATCCTATGTTTGCATTGTTATCTGGGCGAAACCGGAAAGAAACTCGATTTTCTTCAAAGGCGTTATGGGTAATAAATTCTGCTTTTCCTTTACTTTTTCTCTACATTTTCGGATAATCTTTCAATACGACAAGTTTTACGAAAATTCCTTGTAAAGAAAAATCGAATAATGTTCATACGAGTAATTTGAATTAAATTTGTCTGCTGTTTGTTTTGACAAATTAAAAATTGGAAATCGTAATAACATAATCGTATCATTCATTGTTTCTTTTATTGTCTTCTGAATTTTCAGCTCTTGAGTGATACTCAGTGCTTTTAAAAATCTCACAAGTATTGTATTACGCGAGAAAACACCTTTACATAGGCCGTTTGGTTTCTTATTACATTGTTTTGTGTTGATAGAAAAATTGATGAAATTCGTCCAAAATCCAAAATAAACGTAAAATAAAAACTGTTTACAAAATTATATTCACTTATATCGATAGTTCAATTTGTATGGAATAATTTACGCATTTACAGAACATTAATACAATCAAAATGTAAAATTCATAAAAGGAATGTTCAGTCATTGATTTGTTGAAAATGCATAAAAATTCCTCTCGGTCATAGTTTAATCATTACGAAATTATATAAAAATCAATTCAGGCTATTAACATTTAATTAATGTTTTTATACTATTATGACTTGTATTATAAACTGTAATTTATAATTATATAAAGAATATATAATTTAAATTATAAATTAAGTAAATAAACATAAATGTAGACCTATTATAAATAACTTCAAACCAAACCAAATAATGTACAGTAATAGAAAGAAATAATTTTCGATATAGGTCTAATTCTTATGGACTTATAGCGATTTATTTTCACTCAGGACGTTAAACTCACCGACTGGATTTGGGAAGAAAGAGAACGTGAAAAGATTCGCAAATTATATTCCAGAGAAAGAGAAAAACACCAGAAAGAAGCCGAATATATAGAATCTCAACCGATGGAGGTTACTTCGGACGAAAACATTACCAATTTCGATATTCTTAATGCCGGACCACACGCTTCCGTATCTTCGGAACCGGAGACCACCAGGAAGACGACAAAAAAGAAAGTTAGTACATTGCTAGATTTTATCATTTTTAATTTAAGTAGAATGTCGTAAGAAAATTATAATCTTCTCTTTTGATTTAATGTCGTAATAAATATTACCGTAGTACGAATGCTATTAGAATTCGATTGATTTAAATAGTTGCATGATATTGAATGTTAGCATGGTTTATAAATATTTAAAATGGTAGCGTACGTATACGTTTACATCTAGTGTGCATAGTATAATCGAAGCCTGGCAAACACAATGATATAATACATAATTTTCATAATTCAAAATTTTCATAAAAATTATTTGATTATAAAGAAGTTTATCGTAAAGATCAATTTTTTTCGCAATTATATTTACGCTATTCGTGCGTAGTTCTGAATATTTTTAAAACTTATGTTGAAAATTTAAAAATACTACAATGTAAACTAGTCTCGATATTTTTTTTTCTCTGTATGACAGAAAATTATTCTCCTGTAAAATGAAAAATTATTTTTTTGTTTAGAAAATTGTCGACACTACTTATAGCCATCTAAAGCGAGATCTATTCCCGTTTCGGATAAAATGTTGAAAAGATTGCTTGTCGATAATTTAATGCGCCATTAAAGATCTTTTTAAAATTAATGACTTCGTGTTAACAACGTAAGAAATTCGAAGCACATAATGTCAAGCATCAAGTTTTTTCTTATAAATATGGCATCTAAAAATGCGCTGAAGAAAACGAGCGATGTTCCGAACAACATCCATCATCGATCTAATTCGTATGCGTAAGAAATGTGTAATTGATACAACGATGGCGTAAACGGATCCGACCGAAGGGAAAAGGAGTCTCGCTGCTCTTTTTGATTCAAAAAGTATCGTATTTATTAACACAGATATTTTCGATTAATATTATAGTTGTCTTTGGATCAATAAGTAAGAAATATTAAAGGTTAATGTAGATACTAGTTTCCGGGAAAAGTAATTTGTAAAATGAGATAACGGAACTTAAAAGAAAACTTACATTTTTCTTGAACTATGTATAATAATCTGTTTTGTCATAATATATAGATAACTAAATGCATTTTCTCCCGAGGTCTAGCCGTTACATGGTTTACCAGTTTCTATCGCACACGTTTTGAAAGCGATTGAAACACTTATTTTGTCATCCTATAAATTTATTCTCATATTTTTGGCGTATTCTTCTGTAGTCTTTCGGTTCTATTCGGAGGAGTTTATTTATTTATTTATTTTTAGACGAGTTTCTCTACTAACGCTCTCTATATATTTCCATACAAATTTTATTTTATTTTACTGATGTAATTGTTATGCTTTGCAGTTCTAACACAATCCAGACATTTTTATTATTTTATTGTGTTGTTCTTATTACGGTGGTGATCTTCACATAATTGTAGTTTACGTCGTTTTTTATTCTATTATCTATATAGGCCTAGAATTTTTATAACTTTATCTATACAGCATTGTAAGAGATTTTTGATATCCATAAATGCATTTCTTGCTATTTGTATGACAAAAATTGAAAATATAATGCCAACTATTTTTATGTTTTAACGTTGCAATTGTTTTTTTCCCCCACCTTTGACATCTGTTGAAAACGCGAGTCAGATCTTTGATGTAAACAGTTTTGGTTTATATTTTTATGTTTGTCTTTTTTCAATAGAAAAATGTGTTAGAAATGTATTAGTGATACAATATATACTTTATATGTTTTGGCTTAGTTTTATTTTGAAACATACTTCCAGTTCTGATCTAATATTTACACAAGTTTATAAATATATGAAATAGAATACAAAATATATTGAGAAACGAACCTTATCACAAATACAGGTTTAAAAAGTAAAATATTCAACATTTCTCGTATTAAAGATATAATTGTTTTTAAAAAATGTCAAGAAATAATAATCGCATTTCTTAAATTCTATTTATTTTTAAATAGAGAATGTGAAGAGAAACTATAAAGTACTCTTGACAATGCTTGTCTATAAATATTATCTTCCTTAGCTTTTATTATTCATTTTTACAATACGTAGAATGTTTTCTCAAAAATTTTTATATAAATGCGAATTTTTTTAAGTTAAGAAATTCTGTTAAAATATTTTTAGCATTTTCTTAAATATACAGCAACAAAATTTTTGGATGTTTTAAACTATATTTATTACATACAATTATTATCATCATTTTAAAAGATATATTTGCGTTTATGTTTTGATATATTGTATTATATTGTCATAAAAATCTGTGTAAATTTTAAACTAAGTTAAAAATGTTTTTCAAAAAATATTACTTTAAAATCAGTATTTTTTAATGAAGTTTTTTAATGATCTAAGAAAAGATTTGATATTACAGATTGATATATTATAAATTTCTTCGATATCTTATATTAATATTTTTTCGTTTTAATATGTAACTTAATTTACGTTCTACTTTTGATATATTACACTCTTTATCTCTTTTTAAGCGAAGGGTTTCATAAAAGAAGATAAACAATTTACGGAATAGTGCAAACAATTTAAATTAACAGAACAAATTCAGTGAAATAAGACGGAGGTTTCCAAAACTGGAGAAAGATTCAAAAAATTAAGCCCAGTATTACAAAACTGAAGAGAACGTTGCTTATAATAAGAGAAATATTTGTGTAAATAGACGACCGTTTGCCATATATAGGAAACATGTTTACAGGAGACGGCTTTCTCAAATTAAGAACATTTCTAAGGTATAAGGAAATGATCATAAGCATTTTTTACTTTCTTATTAGCACTTAAACAGAAGATCGAGGTAAATGCCTGGAAGCAGTTCACAGTGTACTTTCAATTTCAGCAAATCACGAAATGGTTTGTCATTTTCTGCGTTACAAACGTATTCGCACATTACACATAATTTCGGAAATATTTATAACTTAGCTGAGTATGCTTTTATTAGTCTATGTTTGGAAGTGTGTTTTTCTTGGCATTGTGGTGAAGTGAGTTGGAAAAGTAACGTAACGAGTTTCTAGTAATAAAGCAAATGCTTTTTCCTAATAGGTAAACGTTGTCTCCTAGTTTTGAAATTTTTGTCTCATTTCACTAAACTTGTTCTCTGTATTTAAAAAGTTTACGCTATTTCTTGAAAATCTATTCTTATTTTCTGCATTCTTTTGCTAAAAAGAGATAGAGTGCAATATTTATCAGTGACAAAACGCTTAAGAGTCATTTGAAATCCGTTAAACTCAATGGCGTAGCGTAGTGGGGGCGGCAGCGGCGGCACTTTTAGTGGGCGGAAAAATTTCACAATAAATAATAAATAATATCTTGTAAAAATTTGAACCATTTCATTTCATATTTTTGTCGCACCTACGATTCGGACCGATTGAATTTGTGACGAAACTGAATTTTGGTCTTTTAAATTGAGATACCTAAATAGGGGGCAGCGAAATTTTCCTCCGCCCCGGGAAGCTGACACCCACGCTACGCCACTGGTTAAATTTTATCAATTGAAAATTTTAACCGAGCATATTGAATAAACCGAGAAAATTCGCAAATCATGATTTTAATACTCTTCTGACCATTAGAAAGCGTGCATGTGAAATATGAGGCTAATCTTCGATTGTCTCACGCCTTGCATGTAGATTTCACACGCATGCCCCCAGTGGGCATGCGTGTGAAATCTACATGCACTATGAGCAGCATTGGGAAACAGTGAGGCTAGCGTTGTCCGTTAATGAATTCTGCATGTTGGTACAGCTGAAATAAGTTTATGTAGTGAGGTTCCTTTTAAATGAGTATTTTTATACTGTAATGGTTTTTACGAAGTAATACATTTGTGTGATTAATTATAGTGTTGTTTTATTTATTTTCTCTATTTAATTTTATTATTTAGTTTTGGGCATCGATATTTCAGTTACTATTTACTATAGTTTCAGTTTGATTTCAGTTTTATTTATAATAACCAAATATCTTACTCAGCTCCTTAAATAATAAATCATCGAACACCTGATGCTGAGAAAACCCGTTTATTAAAGACCGTTTTCGATCTAATATGATAGGCCATCTTCAGATGCAAGTATTCTCGAACGTATTTAACTTAATATTTAAACGTCAGAACGTTCAAATACTTTTACGTTTAAATCAAAATACTGGATAAAATAACAAATAAATAATAAAATAAAACAAATATACTAAATGACCTAATACAATAACGATGTAAATAATGTACTAAAATAAAAAATAACATATTTAAAATAATAATAAAATAAAATAAATACACAAAAAAATGCCATTAAGTATAAGGGCAGCTGGGGCTAAGAATTTTTGCGTTTTAGTTTTTCTTTTATGTAGAACTTCCATGATGAAGCTAGTTTCTCTGCATCCCTAGCGTTAATACAACCATCGTTTAATTTACTTTTATATATTTCGATTTTTTCTTCGTGCATTGCCAATGATGGAGAACGCATAGTCATGAGGATAGTCGCTTCATTCCATTTAACCAGAGTCCTGTGCTTATGCCATATAGGATAATACTGTGTTGCAGTGTCCTTTGTTAATATCGTATTTGTGCTCCTTAAGTCTGGTAGCCAAATTCCTTCTTGTGACCCCAATATAGTCCTTCTTAATTCCTAATTCCTGAATTTCAAACGGAATTTTATATACGTCTGCTTTTTCTTCTTTTTTAATCATGTCTTTATCATTTCTTTATTAAAATATTGTATATATTAGTCGCTCTTTTGAAAATCATTTTTGAATGCTTTCTGTCGGATACTTATGTTCTTGATGTTTCGATTATATGTGAACTTGGAGATTTTAAACTGATTTGCTTGGGTTCTTATTACATTGCCTTCTTCATATCTAATTAGCCCTTCTATTGTACTCTTTTTATATCCCAAGCTTGAAGCTGTTTCTTTAATTCTTTTAAGTTCTTTGATCCTGTCTAGCACATTAGAGTGATGTGAATACGCTCTTCTGACAAGTGCTCGAAAGGTGGACAATTTTATCCGTAGGGGGTCGTTCGAGTTAGTTGGAATGTATAATGGATTTTTTATAGTGGGTTTAGTTGGAATGTATAGTGGAACCCGAAAAATTCCTGGGGATTTTTTGGGTTCAAGCCCGGGTCCCCCAGAGCGGTAGGCTGCCACCTTGGCTGTTCGGCCATCCGACCGCCGACAGGTAACTAGTCACAAGTAACTTGTTATTATTTTATAAAAATTTATTTAGTTAAATTACATTATATTTAAAAATCACTGTAAAGTGTCTTGATTTCATAATTTACCTGGTAAATTAATATACAATAGACCCCCCTATAAAACGGCAACGTCGGGCTCATTTGCTAGTAACAAATATTTTTATTTTATTTATTTATATTTTTATTTAGTTATCNAATTATGTGTGATCCAGTTTTTTCCCCCACGTGATACATTTATATTTTTATTTAGATATCAGTGGAAAGTTTTCTGTGATAAAAATAAAATGAAACCTTAGAACTCACTTGGGTATTAAGAAAAGGGAAACCCGACGAAAAAGGGGAAAAACGTATCTCAAGTGGACGGACGCCCTTGTTTACTATACTCACTTTTTTAATTAATTAAAATAAATCTGTTTTTCTGGATGCTTTTAAAGTATACTTTATTTCAGGAAAATACTGTTTCTGATTGTAAGCATTTTCTGTCTAAAAGTGCTAGTGTTAGTCATCTTTAACAAATGTTAATGATGATAAAAACTCTAGAAAAGCAGATATACAGAAAACAGGTATATTGAATTTACTTTATTTAAGGAGATATATACTTTTATAAACCAGAAGATTCACTCTGATATCATCTGTCTCTCCACACTCGACCGGTAAAAATTCAAAAATGGAAAAACAAATCTAAATTTTTAATTTTTAAATAAAGGTAAATACTAATTAAATTGAATTTAATGAGAATATTACCTGTAATATAACAATAAAAATGTATACTGTACATAAATATTCTACGTACGAGTATTTAAAATATACAAAATTATTATTTATGTTTGACTAAACTATTAAATAATTAATAAGAGTTGTGATTTTATGGATTTGTATCGATAAGGAATTATACACACACTTTGTTAACTTTTTATGATAATTTATTCGTAGCACGAATCACTGGTGCACAGCGATGATTCGTGTCGAGAATAAATCGATTGTTTGAACTTTGTCTTCAACTCCCAAGACGTACTGTGCAAAGTTCCGTTTTACGCTCTCCTGGATCCTCCAATAAATATTCTGTTGAATTCAAGTTAGGAGAGTTGATTAACCATTTTATTCGTGAATAT